GAGGGACTGGGCCCTCCTGATAACATGTCCAAAGTATGTGAGACGAAGTTTTGCCATCCTCGCTTCCAAGGAGCATTCCTCTAAGGAGCATTCTGTACTTCTTCTAAGACAGATTTGTTCATTCTTCTGACAGTCCATTGCATGTTCAATATTCTTCACCAACACCATTAATTCAAATGCATCAATTCTTCTTTGGTCTTTCTTATTCATTGTCCAGCTTTTGTACCTGTAAACCTGTAAGTTGGAGCTCTGTAAGCCATAATTAAGTAGCCCCCAAATTGCCCTGACAATTCATCCAAAAATTCATTAATTTGTCTATACATGCTTGTTGAACTAAACTTTTTCCAGTCAGGTACATTTCTTTGTCTCCAGTGTCAGATTCAGGCTTAGCCACAGCCTGAACCAGTTAAGAAAAAGACACTGCAGTCTTGCACTTGAGACCCCTCCCCATTACTGAGAAGCTATGCATGAATCTTTCATACTACTGTTCAAACTATATGGACATTGGTTCCTGATCCCTTGTTACCTGGACCCTTTGTTCTTCAGTACCAGAGCCTGCTCCTTCACCTCCTGGATTCGGACCTTGGCTGCCTAGAACTCTAGTACCTGCCTGCCCGTCCTACTTTGCTGAATTTTCTGGACACGTATCCTTGCAAAAATGAGCCAATAGCTACTTACCTTATCATCTTTACTTTGAGTAGCCTCTCTAGCTTATACATCTGGCCTGACTTGCTCTTCCATACAGACACACATACAGGTATGCATGCACAGATACACACACACACACTCACAAACACACTAGCTAAGCTCTTAGCCCCAGTTCCGTCAATCTACCCTGTCCTACTTCTACCCAAGTACTAATGTAACAACTTCTCAGAGGTGGAAGAGCAAAGTTCAATGGTGTGAAGAATTTCAAGGGACTCACGTGCTCCCAAGGCTGTATGGAGTCCTTATACAGCTCCTACACTCTTGTAAAATACACGTGCTCCTCCTATTAGAGAACTGCAATTTCCCCAGCAGCCTTAGCATCCACCTGCACTGTGGAGGCAAAATCAGTGGTCCACAACAGTCTACCCTTTATCATACTTCTACCTGCCACCAAGGAGCAATGGTTAGGAATTTGAATCTAACTGGTTATAGCAGACGTACTAATTGAACATATCTCTATTTCCCAATTCACCTCTCTGCAATCTTCTGATAATTCACCTGCAATCCTGGATCTTCCTCTTTGCACAATCATTAAATGGACTGACCAGTAACTTAGAAGAGTCTCACAAAATGTGTATTTTTATTTTTTATACCCTACCATTACATTGATATTTACCTTGAAATTTTTCCTTCGAAGTTTATAAAAAACATATCGCATGAGACTTAATCATTATTTTTCAATATACAAACAGTCCCCGGGTTACAATGTCCGACTTACAGACAACTCATACTTAAGAACAGACTGCCATTAAGCCCACTGTATTAAAAATTGAGTTAAGTACATACAATGGTTCATAATAATGAATGCACGTGCTATTTGGTGACACTCATGAAAACACTGCGCAGTTTGGAAGTGTTTCTTAAGTGTTTTACATGCATAGAAAGGTAAAATATATACTATATACTAAGACAAACATTTGACTAACACTAAATAAGAACCACATGTACCTGTTCTGACTTACCTACAAATTGGACTTAAAGACAGACTTAGGAACGGATTTCATTCATAACCCGGGAACTGCCTATATATACAGATTATGCAAATAAAAATTTAGAAATAGATGTTTGAAAATGAAATATGCGTGCAACATCAAATAAACAAGCAAAATTAGAGCAGAGGAATTAGTAACCACATTTTATACCTTACATTTTGCTAATATAATTCCTAGACCTCACTGGCCACATCAATAGTAAATAACATTTGTCAAGCCAGGCCCTGTTCTAAGCACTTTATAAATATCACCTCATTTAATACTCTCAACAATCCTATGAAGAAAATGTCATTATTGTCCCCATTTTACGGCTGAAGTAACTGAGGCTGGAGAGCTTAAGCAAATTATCCAAAGTCACACAGCTAGTAAGTGGTGGAGTTAGGATTCAAGCCCAAGAAATCTTACTACAAAATCTATCTCTTGGCTATGTAACTACCCACTTTTTAACTCTGTCTTTTCTCCCAATACATCCCTCACATTCCTAACCCTTCCTAAAACTATTCATCTATTCACTGGCTCTCTGGTCCAGTTGGTCACCATTACAGTTTCATAGTTTCTATTTACATTAAAGTCACTCTCTGCTGCCCCCTGGAGATAATTTGGTGAAACTAATGCTAATGGTTTCATAAATTTATTTAGCAAATTCAACAACAGCTACACTTTGATATTTTGATCACAAAGTATGTTAACAT